ACAGGAACATCGTTCTCCCTTAAATCTTCTTGGACACAGTTTGGACTATTTGCAAACTGATGTTAGATATACCCAACATACATGGGAAAAAGTACTCCTAGCAGAGCAGAGGTATATTCTAACAAATCAAATATGTATTCTTTAAACAGAACATGGGAAAATAGAAAAAAGTAAAATTACGAAGACTTTAAATATCCTTTTCTTATGTTTTGGAAGAAGCATAATCATTAATTGTACAGCACATCTTGCACAAAACAAGTGTGCTGTTGCACAACACTCAGAAACAGAATTAAAAGGTGTAATTGCTACTAAGTATTTGGCTGTGCTTTTACTATCAAATGATGTGTGTTCAGTTTATGCATGCTCTCTAGTAAGAGGCAGTGATTTTTTTTAAACTTGTTTTCTAATAATATGAATTATGTAAGCTATTTTCTCCATTAAAACTGGAAGTCGGATAGATTAGAGGAATTTATTTTGAGGCCTCATCCTGTGCATCAGCCCATGCCGACGGTGCCATACACAGATGTGTGTGCGTACACACATATATGAAAATGCATTTATTTCTTTTTAACGTGCAATGTCAGGAATAAATGGGTCTCAAGTTCCTAACTAAATAATACCTTGTCTAAATGAGAATCTATTTTTCTGATCTGTATTTCTAAAAACCCATTAGCAAAAGACGTTGATACATTACAAGGTTTATGATGTCTGTCTGATTTACCATTTGGGCCTTTTTTTTTGCCCTGAGTTTTTTCATGCTGTAATTTTTGGGGTACTAGGTTAGAAATATAAATAGAGTCTGTAGCTGCAAATCTATGTTGGTCAGCAGACCCTTTGCATACAGTGTTTTTCAGTTAATGTCCTTATGGATACTATTCTCTGTTAATGTACTTAAGTATTGTAAAAAAAAAAAAAAAATACTTGGGCTTGGTCCTTGATTACATCAAATCTGTAACTCAAGGCAACCCAAAGGTTGACTCAGGTGCCTCTAGAGACTTCCCAGGCTTGAGAAAACGCTTAGCAGTGTCGAAGCGGACTAGTCTAGTCCTCAGTCCGTCACAGGAGAGCTGAGGAAATGGGGCGATGGCCAGAATGCTGCTGCATCCTTACTTATCACAGCATTTTTTAAAACTGAGTGTAACAGTCCCAAAACATCCTGAGCGCTATATGGGGGTAAGATGGTCTCAAAACTCAGACAGTGGCAAAAGCATCTCATCATCTGTGTGCGGCACATACCAAACTAGATCCTTAGATTTTAGAAAACAGGGTAGCTCTCCTCACTGAAGTCAAAATAAAACCAAACCTGACTTGTAAAGGTCTTTGCAAACTGGAGAGAGAAGGAGTTATTGCCGCCTGAACTAATTTGGACTCTCATCTGTGGTATTTTATGTATGGGCAGGTTCTTTTTCTGTGACCCATGTCTGGCCACTTGAGTTTGTCTGAAGATTGAGGATCTGAAGTTAAAATGTGGAATGCCATCAATGAGACTGCATCAGCAGATCAGTGAGAAGTTCTTTGCTTTGCTCTGGCGTAGCAATGAGACCTTTTTGCAGTGGACAGGGAGAAGAGATGACCAAACCCAAAATCTAGGTGCCTCCTTGATACACCAGGCGCGTGAGTTCTGTGTTTGACAGGAGTACCACCCTGGGCACCACCTGGAATAGGAAATACAAGTTGAAGGTTTATCAGTGTAGCTTGTGCATTTGCAAGAAGTTGCAGGTGCGCATCTGAAGATGTTACTTCTAGGCCAAGGAAAGACTTCTACGTTGCTGACATTGTGGACGTAGCATCTGTATCAGTTGTGTTTTATGTCATTATTTTTTTTCCTCAGTGTTTTTGCCCCTCTTTTAGCTTTTCCCACCTGTTATATTTTTATATTTCCACAAGGAAGACATTTGTTATTGGAAAGAAACAGGTTTTTTGGATACCAGCTGCTTTGAGCTGTCCATTCTCCATTGTACAGAAGCCTTGTTTCCTCCCCAGGAGACACACGCTTTTGTTAAGTTACACTCTTCTTACACGGTTGCCTTCTCACTGTGCTGGTCCCTGCAACTTTTGTTAGCTTTCCTTCTTTTGGGGTCATTAAGAACAAATTTTTTCTCTCTGCTCACTCTTTGCTTTTTCACATAGGAACCAAGTTCTGATCTATCTGATTAGCAAAATCACACTGAACTTGTAGGGTGTTTGGGAGGAAAACAGTTCAGACTATGGAACAGCCTTTATTATAACTCCCTTCCATCCTTCTCTTTTACTGTCTGTCGTGCTCCTTCCTAAACTCCCAGCTCCTGCTGCTAGCAATATACTGTTTGTGTGGCTTTTAAATCTCTAATACTTTCCAGGAGAGAAGAAAAATGTAGGAAATTGCATGTCTGTTAAAGGTAGCTGAGAAGGAAGAAAGTCTGTGAGAAAAGCAGGGTCAAAACATGGAAGGAAGATTCTTCTTTCATATGGATAGTGCAGATGTGCCCAAGTTATTGAGAGCATGACACATTGATGATTTTTTAATTTTGAAAGGCTTACTGGAGTTCACTTTCTAAGGTTCACAATTCAAGCTTCATGTATTTGAGGAAAATTTCCTGAACTCAGACATAATACTACACTTCCGAGAACAATGATTCAATTAGCAGAACAGCATCTACCTCTTCAGATGCTTGGAAAACAATTCAGCTAGCTTATTTTCAAATGATGAATGTGTTAACTTACCAAGCAACACGCAGAATTTTAACAAACTTCAGATTCTGCAGACCCACAGTAGATGAAGTAACCTTTTTTTAGATTTCACAGATTTGTTATCACAGATGTTCTTAACCTAAATATATGGATATGCATAAATAAATACTGTTTAAAATATATATAAACTTCCTTTATTTATGTCTGATTTCATTCTGACACCAGGTTTCAAGCAGCTGCAAGCGCTGACTACAGGCCTTGCTCTCACTGCTGCTGTGCCATGACTTCCGTGGCAGCAGGCTAGCTAAAGCCTGCTTTTTTAATTCACATCTAGCTTTTTTGTGAAGAGAGGTGGCAACTGTATTTAGAAAGATTTTCCACTAATTAATCTGGTACTGTCCACGTTCAGTGTATGCTGACTACAGTGTGCCGTTCTTAAAGGTAGCATCTGGCCTAAGGCTTCATTCATGAAGAGTCACCAAGCAGCAAAAATAGTCTATAAGGAGCAGAAATTTACCACAGTGTAACCTCTTTTCCGTCAATTTGTATGTAGTAGGAATGGCAAGGTATGATTTGGATAGTCTGTGAATATCTCCCATCAAATGTCCTGTGCGGCACAAATGAATGCTGAGCTGGCATAAATTCATCTGAGTAGTTCTGCAGCTGTTCAGTGGTACCTTCCTCCTCGCACATTTCTCTTTTATTGTTTTTCTTGTGCAAAGACTGTGTGCAATAGTTCTCCAAAAATGATGTCAGGGTAGTTTAGAACTGTCCAAATATAATCTGTAATGGCTAAAGGGAACGTGCCAAATATCCTCATTTGTCAGCACCACGTACTGACTTGATTTGACCACTTCTTATTTTCTGTATTTAACACAAAAAAGTAGGACTCATCTCATTTGACTTTTAGATGGTCAAAGGTAGGCTTCTAGTCCAAGCTAGTTGTTTAGAACCCTTCAGGGGACAGAGGTATCTGCAGACAGTAGTCCATCTATAGAGACCTTTTCTACTGATATTGAAGGAGACTTCGCTACTGCAGATAGCCTAATAAATACTCAACTTTAAAATGGCTTGAGTTAGGTGAAATGAATTCCACACTGATTATTAATGTAATCAGACTGGTAACTTAGCACAGAGATGCAAGCATATAGATCGCAGTAGGAGTTTTACTTTGATTTTGTTTGCAGATGGGACCTTCCATCTATAGATGCTGTAGGAAGAGGAACAAATGAGAGAAAAGTCACAGCAGAATCTGATTAGTTTAACTCTGAGATTTCGGTGCGGAAGGAAGGGAGCAAACTCAAGCCAATCATCAGATCAGATGTTGCTACACTCATTTGTTAACATGCCTCCTTGAATGGAATTAATGAAACCTTTCATTATAGATCAGTATGCTCTTTGACTGGGAGAATATTATGGGTGCCTATTGTATATGCTTAATTAGATTGAAATTCCTTTCACATTTCCTTTATATCCAAAAAATTCTACTCTCAGCAGTTTAAAAATGGAATTACAAAAGTCATCCCGCCACTGTGTTGCCAAAGCTAGCAAAAGAAGAGAAAAAGGAAAAAAACTCCTCAGCCCACTGCCCAGCTCTGGGTTTTAGTTTAGTGGCCATTTTAGCAGCTGCAAAGGCAGCACTGCACTAAGTAGTACTCACTGCAGTATATCCATAAAGAAAACACCTGGTAATTCTCATATTATTATCACAGGAGACTAAATGGTATCAATGAAAGTCAATCAGCCCAAGAGTTTGAATGGGACTGTACTGAACTGTTCTGAAACTTATTCCCGTTTCTCTCATATTTTCTCTCTTAAAACTATTTCATAGCAAAGTTGTTGGCATATTAATGTGCGTCGTCCTCCTTCCTGAACTTCCTCTCTGCAAAAAGATACTAAGTGCGCCTTTCTCATGTTTTATTTCTTGATAACAGTTTAGGACTCCTCAAATTTCCTGTCAAAAACACTTCTTCCCTGAAACGAGTTTTCTCATCATCACAGCCCTCTTCCTATCGAAATAGTCTTTAGTACTTTCGTATCAGTTAATTGGCTGTCTTGCTGCCTCATTCTTTCAGCTCAGCCCAAGGTGTTTCTGGGTTTGTCCACTTTTTTGTTCTACCTCACCCAAACTCTTAGGTTTTCTTAGGTTTCGGGGTGCTGCAAGGGCACGCCAGCCAGCCTCTCCCTGCGCTTCCTCCGAGCGCCCCTACAGCTGCCCTCCTACCTCATAAGGAAAGTGGGCCTTTCCTTAGGGTATTTGGGAATTGGATTGTGAACTCTCAATTTCAAGCAAATTTTAGCTTTAACTCTTACTGAATTCTCGTTCCCAGTTCTCCAGCGTGGGAGGCTGCTGCACCATCCCTGGGACCAATGTGAGTCAGGAGTTACTCTGCTGCGTTAAGGCGTTCGGTGTCCCGCGGCCTCCTCAGGAGGCATTGTTTATCAGCTTCCCTCCTTCCAAATTCTTCTGTTTGTATAGTGGGAGCTTTTGTGCCAATTTTTTTTTTTCTTTGCCTGGAGTTATTGGCAGAGCTAATTAACTACAGAATATAAAAGCCTTGTTCTTGGGGGCCTAGTGGTGTGGTGGCAGCACAGCGTGAGTGCTGCCTGGTGGGCTGGGAGATGAATTGTGGGATGGGTAGCCTGAGGATGGGCAGATTATCTTCACAAAGATGTACCTAGTTATTTCCTGCAGTGAATGCAATCGCTCGTCTTGAGGGGCTGCGTGCTGCGTCCTTCCCTGCTCTGCTCCGCTCCACCGCTGCACAGATGGCACCTACGGGGCTGGCAGCAACCTCGGAGAGCACGTAGGTCTTGGCCACTGTAATGAAAGCTGGTGGACGAGAGAGCGGACTTGCAGGCTCACGTGTGCCTGTGCCAACAGGACGTGAAGGGGTTTGGACGGGTTCATCTACTCCCTGCGCCTCCCCAGAGGTTCACGGAGCCGAGCCCCGCAGCCGCCCCTGAGGACTGTGCCCCTGGCTGTCACTAGAGGCAAGCGAAAAAGGTAAGAGTGAGAGAGAGCAGCGGCCCCTCGGGTGGGATGTGTTCGGAGAAGGAAAGGATGGCCCCTCTCGCCTCCAGGAGAGGAGGGGGGAGCTTGATGGGGGAAGAGAGTCCTGGCCTGCGCCTTGAACCATGAGCTAGAGCAGGGCAATATTTTCCAAATCCAGAAATGCTTAGGAAACTTTTTTTTTTTTTTTCCCCTGGAGAAATGTCTTAATTATGACAGGAAACATGACTGTACTCAGCCCAAAGCGCTCCTGCTGTTTGTCCAGCTCGGATGATTGCTCTGTGTGGGCTGCGAGGCGGCGGCGGGGGAGCAGAGCCCCAGCGGCCGGGGCCGTGCCCCGGGCTGTGGCGCGGGCTCGGCCCACCCGCGGGGAC